GTGGAGTGGAAGGCAAAAGGAAGGAAGAGGAAGGGTCAGAGAGGCCAGGAGCTCAGAGAGAGGGTCAGACAGGTTCCCCACATAAGGAGGGGCTGCAGAGAAAGATATCTGTCACAAGCCAGGGACTGAGGCCAGGGGCTCACAGAGCAGAGTCATGTGGGAATGTGCAGTGAGTGTGAAGCAAGAGGAGGACGTCCTGGTGAGCGCTGGGGTTTGGTGGGAACTGCGAACCACAGCTGGCTTTCACAGAATCCCCAAAGCAGGATGCATGGAGGGATGGGGGGACCCCTGGATTTATGGGGCCAGGCCAGGGAAAGACTGGCCAGGGGGGATAGTTTCAGAGAACTTACATAAGAGCTACATATCAGAGACCACAGACTGATAGCGCATACCTGCAGACATGTTTTGTGAAGCCTACACTGTGCTTTAATAAAATTGCGTTAAGATTTTCACATGAGAGAGTTCCCGTAAAATCTGGATTTCTTACTTGCCCTGAGAAATCAGACACGTGGCAACCCTGAGCCAGCACTCTCACATAGCCTCCCTCTCCTGCATGGATTTGAGTAGCAGCTGCCCCTTTCACTGGGCACAAGGTTTCTCTCCAGTTTTCCCAAATCCCCACTATTCCTTTTTGTCCCCCCAGCCCTGAGGCTGGTGTCAGTTACTAGTTACTCCTGTGCCTGCAGTGTTGATTTCTTATATCAGAGAAATCTTTATTGTACCCAAGTCTCTATCAAAAGAGCGAAGATGAAAGATGGAGCAAGGAGGGGGTGGGAGTTTTGTTTTGTCTGTTTTTTACAATTGAACCACTTCATTTTACCTAACTGCCGGGCTCCAGTAGACATGTGGGTTTGACATCCCTACTGTAAATCATCAGTGTTCCTCCAGAATATTTACACTGTTAGTGTTGTTGGCTGTCATCCAGTCGACCCCAACTCATGGCGTCCCCATGCATGATGGAAGGAAATGCTGTCCTGTCCTACAACATCCCATGATTCATTGTGAATTGGACCATTCCGATCCATAGAGTTTTCTTTGGTTGATTTTTGGAAGTAGATCACCAGGCCTTTCTTCCTAGTCTGTCTTAGTCTGGAAGCTCCGCTGAAACCTATTCAGCATCATAGCAACACCCAAGCATCCACTGACAGATGAGTGATGGCTGTGTATGAGGTGCATTGGCCAGGAATTGAACCTGGGCCTCTCACATGGAAGGCGAGAATTCTAACACTGAACGACCACTGCCTCCCATATATTTACACTGTAGTTGTTGTTGTTGTTAGGTGCCATCACGTCAATTTCAACTCAAAACGACCTTATATGACAGAGTAGAACTTCCCCATAGGGTTTTCTAGGCGATAATCTTTACAGGAACAGGTTGCCAGGTCTTTCTCCTGGAGAGCCACTGAGTGGGTTCGAACTGCCAGCCTTTAGGTTAGCAGCCCAGAGCTTAACCTGTGTGCCGCTAGGGCTCCTTGTATTTACACTAAACCATAAAACCAAATACGTTGCCATTGAGTCGATTCCGACTCCTAGCGACTCTGTAGGACAGAGTAGACCTGCCCCCATAGGGTGTCCAAGGTGGGTTCAAACTGCCAACATGTTGATTAGCAGCTGCAGCTCTTAACTACTGCACCACCAGGGCCCCGTATTTACACTTAAAAACAAAACAAAACAAAACAAAACAAAAAACACCAAAAAAAAAAAAACTGTTGCTGTCTCATAGAGACCCTATATGACAGAGTACAGCTGTCCGATAGGTTTCCAAGGAGGCTTGGTGGATTTGAACTGCTGACCTTTTGGTTAGCAGCTGAGCTCTTAACCACAGTGCAAGATAGCATGCACTATCAGTCTGTGGTCTCTGATACGTAGCTCTTATGTAAGTTCTCTGAAACTATCCCCCCTGGCCAGTCTTTCCCTGGCCAGGGCTCCATATTTACACTAGGAGTCACTAAATGGCTAAAGTCTCTACCACCTAAAAGGTAAGGAGGAAGGCAGATTGGAGATGAAAGAATCAAAGCAATAGGTCTGCTGCAAAGGGAGAGAAGGCCGAGCAAGCAGGGGGCATTGATCCAGAGACGACCATTTCTGAATGCCTATTCCAGAGGTTAAACCATTCACCCAGTGTCCTGAAGGGCAAGGGAAGAATGCTCCTTGGTAAGGGGGGTGGGGGGAGCAGAGGGGGGCACTTGCCCCTGGGCACAAGTCCAAGGGGGCGCCAGACGAGGCACGGAATGACATTCCACAAATATGAAGGATGCCTGACTGAGGCAGCCGAACAAGGGGGTGTTGAGGCTTTTCTGCTTGCATGTCGTCTCTATCAACATTTACTCATCTGAAATTGAGGGGGGCACAGCTTAGAGACTGCCCCTGGGCACTCGTTATCATCGCTACACCCCCATGGTGAGGTCACCACAAAGCCTCCAACGTTGGAGCCAAGACTCCACTCTCACTCTCTCCATGGGGTGGATGTTCCTTCCCCCTTTAAACTTGTGGCATAAATGGGCTTACAAGGCTCACTCTGTTCTCACTTGAAGAATTGACTTGAACTGATGGTTCCAAAAATAACTTTATAAAATTATACGGGAGAGCAAAAAGGAAACAATTTCAGACAATCAGAGCAGCATGACATTTATCAGGTTTACGAGAAGCGAGAATCTCCAACTCTGAGTAGCTCTGAAGTGGTCTTCCCTGGGCCTCGGGCCCTTGACACCACTCTAGCCTTGGGGTTCCCAGGGTGGTATGAGGGGGGTCTCTGAGCTGTTGTCATTAGTTTAAAAACCTGAGCAGCAGTCTATGTTTTCTCACAGCATGTCTTCCTAATCATGCCAAGGTTCTTGGCTTTTGCTGAGCTTTACTGGTGGTAAGAGTTTGGTGGACAAGATAGTTCCAAACATGAAGCCCGTGGGGAGAAATAGCAAGGAAAGAGATCATTTGCAGTCAAATATTTGGGAGCAACAGGAAGGGTCTGGAGCGTCAGCACATCGTTTCCTGGGCTTGGTGTCTGTCTGGTGATGCCATCGTCTTTCCTACTGCCCAGGAAGCAAGAGAATGTGGTAGTTAAGTGCAGAGCTGTGGGCTAAAACAGACCTGGGACTGAATTCTGGTGCTGTCTCTTACTAACACTGTGTAGTTTTGATCAATCTAAACTTTGTGAACCTTGGTTTCTAGTTTTCTTATAGAGAAATAACAGACTCTATTTTACAGGGACGTCGTGGAGTTAAATTAGATAAATCACGTAAAGCATTGAGTATAGTGCATTCCACGTAGGAGCTTTTGATAAAAGAGTTTATTGCTGTTATTCATCTCTGGACATTTGACTCCTTCTAGAAAGCAGCTCAAAGGCCTTTATTGAATCTATTCGATCACTTTAGAGCTGTCAACTTGGCCCCTGTCTGGGGACTATGCCCAGTTAGTTCATCTGTGATTTGTTGATGGTGGTAGGGATCATTGATACTTTTAGCCTCAATGAGGAAGCTCATTCTTCTAAACTTAGGTTATTAGTTCACCCATCTCCGGAGGACTCACTGAGGTGAGGACCTGTCTCCACAACAAGGAAAGAGGCATGCCCAAGTTACCCAATATAAAACATACGCTTAATCCTAGAGTTGGGTGCTCACAGACATCATGCATTTCATTTGAAAGCCCTTTCCCCCCTGCTATGCCCAGTCCAGAGTACATGTCCCACCTCCTTCCCATACTTGAGAGGTGTCACAGCTTAGAGTTAAGCATCTAGACTCGAAAGCCAGGCCGCTTGGCATTGAATGTGGGCTCTGCTACTTACAGTTCTGTGACCTTGAGTAAGTTTCTTGACTTCTCTGTGCCTCAGTTTATTGTTGCTGTCGTTAGGTGCCTTGGAGTCGGTTACGACTCATAGCAACCCTATGTACAACAGAATGAAACACTGCACCATCCTCACAATCGTTGCTATGTTTGAGCCCATTGTCACAGCCACTGTGTCAGTCCATCTTGTTGAGGGGCTTCCTCTTTTTTGCTTACCCTCTACTTTACCAAGCATGATGTCCTTCTCCAGGGACTGGTCGCTCCTGATAACATGTCCAAAGTACATGAGATGATATCTCACTATCCTTGCTTCTAAGAAGCATTCTGGCTGTACTTCTTCCAAGACAGATTTGTTTGTTCTGGCAGTCCATGGTATAGTCAGTATTCTTCACCAACACCGTACTGTGCCTCAGTTTACTCGCTGTAAAATAGGGATAATCCCACTGCCACCTTCAATGGGTTAAACTAGTCACTGTTTAAACTAAGACTGCACATGGTACCTATCACATCGTAAACACTAAATAAATGTTACCTAGTAATATTATCTTCTTCCATCTCTGCTTCCTCCCCTCTTTCTCTTTGTCTTCCTTAGCATCTTCATCATCACCAAGGCCAGGCATACAGGTCTCAGGCCTAAAGATGCTTGACTTCAGCTTTCTTCTTTCTGTTAACCCACCCGCAGGGCAGACTCCTCCGTAATGAGTCTCCACTCGCTTGCTTCCCCTTTCTTCTTCTCAACACTCTGTTCTGTGAGTCCACCTTTCATCCAGGCCCAGCCCCAGGGCGACAGTCAATTTGGACATATTCTAGGGATGTTTGGACTAATGGAACAGTACAGTATTACACAAAGGCTAAGAAAATGGACTTTAAGGGCCCCAAAGGCCTGGATTCTTATCTTGGCTTCTGTACTTCTGGCAGTCCGATTGTGCCAAACTATGTAACTTCTAAGATGCTTAATTTTCTGATCTTAGTTTTCTGAAAGGGAAATAGTGCCCACCTACTGGAGTTTTGTGAGGTTTAAGTAAAGTGATATATGAAAAGCTCATATGAAGAGCTCTTAAAAGTGCATGACTTATTGTAAGTGATCAGTAAATATTGGCTCTTCACTGAGCCAGGCTACTTCCCAGACCCAAATCTCCATTCTGAGCTGCCATCCATGATAGGGAAGTGGTGTAGGCTGCTGAATCTTGTCCTTATACGCTCTTTGGTTTCTCCCTCAGGAAAAGCACCTCACTTTCTGCGGCTCCAAAATGTCGAGGTGAACGTGGGGCAGAACGCCACATTTCAGTGCATTGCTGGTGGAAAGTGGTCTCAGCATGACAAACTTTGGCTCCAGGTAAGGACTGGGGAGGCCTCCTGCTTATACCTGCCCATCCTCTGGCAAAAGGAAAGTGTGTGCTATGATGAAGAGCTTGGTGGGTAAGGGGAGGAAATGTTTATTAAGCACTTCTGCTCCTCGGCTGGTGATCTGCATTCATGATCTTGTTAATTCTTAGCTACAGTTCTGTTAGGTGGGCATCAGTGTTCCAATTTTACAGGTGGAGAAACCAAGGCCACAAACTGAAAAGTGTTAGAAATAGGATTTGCACCTATGACCTTTGCCAACTTTCTTCTAACAAACTTTGTCCTTTAAACCCAGCTTCCCAGGGCTAAGGCAAATGGAATATTTAGGTTCTGGGTATGTGGCATCATAAAATTTTGACTGGAAGGATCTTGGATGTCCAGTGGTCTAGCAGTTTCCAGTCTGGTGAGTAGTGCCCTCTATAGGATCGGGATAAAATCAAAGAGACGCCCTTTCCCGGAAAATGAGCGAACCAGCCTGTTCTGTAGCTGACCAGTTCTGTCAGGAAAGTCCACCAGGAAAGTGTTTTAAGCTTGGTTCTGGTTTCCCCTTATTTCTTCTCATTGACCCTTCTTCCCAAGCAAGATGAGGAAGGATCTCTTTGGTAGGGGCTAGGAACTGGGGACAGGGCACAGACGAGAATATAAATTGTTAAAGTATTAGGCACAGTCCCATCAGTGCTAACATAGAAATACCAAATTCTAGGGCAGCCCAGAAGTTAGAGCGATGCCGTTCAATGTGTCAGTCACTAGCCATGTGCGGCTATTTAAAAATTTTTGTTTCTACTTTTTATTTTTAAATAGCTTTATTGAATAAAGCGATACTCATGAAGGGTGTGCCTCTTAGCTCATGTAGATACAAGAGACTAAATGGGCAGCTTCTGTCCAGAGGTGAGATGGGAAGGCAGAGACGGTTAGGAGGTGGTTGAATGGACATGGGGAATCAGGGGTGGAAAGGAGGAATGTGCTGTCACAGTATGGGGAGAGCAACTAGGGTCACATAACAATGTATGCATAAATTTTTGTAGGGGGAAAAATTAATTTGCCCATCAAAAAAAAAAAGCTTTGTTGAGGTATAATTGACATACAATGTTTGACGTTTATAATTCTGCGAGTTTTGACATATGCATACATGTGACATGATTACCACAGTCAAGATTATGTGAAACTACTGATCTGTGTTCTGTGATGGAATGTTAGTTTGCATGTTCTAAGATTTTATATAAATGTATTCACAAAGTATGTGCTCATCTTTCACTCAGCGTAATTCCTTTGAGATTCATCTATGTTATTGTGTGTATCAGTAGTTTCTTTTTTTCCCCTGAATAATATTCCATTGTATGGATGTACCACATTTTATCTGTTTACCTATCAGTGTTCACTTGGGTTGTTTTCAGTTTGGGGCTATTACCAAAAAAGCATCTGTGAACATTCATGTGCAAGTCTTTGTGTGGATATACGCTTTCATTTTTCTTTGGTAAATATCTAGAAGTGGGATGACTGAGTCGTATGATAGATGTATATTTAACTTTTTAAAGATCTGCCAAACTGTTTTCCAAAATGGTTGTATCATTTGACATTCCACCAGCCGTGTATGAGAGTTCTAGTTGCCCCATATCCTCACCAACACTTGATACGGTCAGTCTTTTTAGTTTTAGCCATTTGAACAGGTGTGTGGTATTGGAGTCCCTGGGTGGCACAAAGTTAAGTACTTGGCTACTAACTGAAAGCTTGGCCATTCATATCCACCCATAGGCACCTCAGTAGAAAGGCCTGGTGATCTACTTCCAAGGGGTCACAGCCATTGTGACAAATTTATGGAGCACGTTTCTACTTTGATGAACATGGCATCACCATGAGTCAGTATCACCTTGATGGCAACTGTTTGTTCAGATGTTTTGTTCATTTATTAATCGGTTTATTTTCTTATTGTTCAGTTTTGTTCTTTATATATTCTGGTTACAAGTCCTTTATCAGATGTATGCTTTGCAAATATTTTCTCTCCATCTGTGGTTTGTCTTTTCATTCTCTTAAGGGTATTCTTTGAAAAGCAGAAGTTTAAAATTTTGATGAAGTCCAGTATATCAATGTTTTTTCTTTTATGGATCTTGCCTTGGAATTATTGCTAAGAAATCTTTGCCTAACCCAGTGTTATGAAGGTTTTGTCTTACGTTTCTTCCAGATATTTTATAATTTCAGTTTTTACATTTAAGTACATGATCCATTTTGAGTTAATTTTTTAATATGGCGTGAGGTATGCATAGAAGTTCATATTTTTGCATATGGATATACCAGTTGATCCAGCACCATGTGCTGAAAAGACAATTCTTTCTGCACTGCATTGCTTTTGTACCTTTGTCAAAAATCAGCTGTCCACATATATATGTGGGTTTATTTCTTGATCATTTATTCTGTTCCACTGCTCTATTTGTTGGTATTAAAATTGTTACCATACTGATTACTGTAACTTTATAAGAAGTCTAGAAATCAGTTAGTGTCAGTCCTTCAACATCACTGTTATTTCTCAAAGTGGTTTTGCCAATTCTTTTACATTTCCATGGGAGTTTTAGAGTGTTTGTTAATTTCTACAAAAAAAAACCTGCTGATATTTTAATGGGAGTTGATTGCATTTACTCTATAGATCAGTTTAGAAGACTGGCATTTTAGCAATGTTGTGTCCTTTGACCCATGAACATGGCATATTTCTCCATTTGTCTAAGGTCATCAGTAATTTCACTCAACAATGTTTTGTAATTTTCAGTGTATAGGTATTGCACGTCTTTTTTCAGATGTATCCTTAAGAGTTCATATTTTTGATACTATTGTGAAAGGTATTTAAAAATTTTCTAATATCTGGTTTCTTATTGTTAGTATATAGAAATATAATTAACTTTCACATATTGATCTTGCAGCCTGCAACCTTGTTAAATTTACTATAACTATTTGAATTTAAGTTCATTCAATACAATTTAAAATTCAGATGCTCAGTCACACTAGCCCCATTTCAAGTGCACAGTAGCCACATGCATCTAGCTGGACAGTGCTGCTGGAGAACATTTCCATCATTGCAGGAAGCCCTATTGGACAGTGTAGCTCCAGAAAGACACCACCTCAGCTTCGAGGAAATAGAAATACTGTTTGGATGAAGTGAGCTCCAGTTATGTCCAATTTCATATAACAAAAGATCTACATCGTCTATCTCTTTTGACTGACGTAGTTTTAATGTTGATCGCTAATTATGTCCCTGGTGGCACAGTGGTTAAGAGCTCAGGCTGCTAACCAAAAGGTCGGCAGTTTGAATCCACCAGCAGCTGCTTGGAAACCATATGGGGCAGTTCTACTCTGTCCCATAGGGTCACTATGAGTCGGAATTGACTCGACAGTGGTGGGTTTGGTTTTCAGGTTTAATCCATGTCCATTCATCTGTGCATACTTTGATGGGAGTTCATACTGTCACTTCCCTCTTTGGATTTGAGCCCATTTCCTATAGTTGGAAAATCCCTGGGCAGAGGAAGCCCATCAAGGGGCTAACGGTTCTTCCTTGCTACTTCTCCATGCACTGACATGGAAATAACACTAATGCTTGCCCTTCTGCTTCCAGGGGCTGCCTACAGACCATAGGAGAGTGCAGTAAATTTCCATGTGCTGCTCAAGCGTTGTGGTTGTTGTCAAGTCAGATCTGGCTTGTGGCAACCCCAAGTGCAACAGAATGAAAAGTTGCCTGGTCCTGTGCCATCTTCACGATCGTTGGTATGCTTGAGTCTATTGTGGCAGCCACAGTGTGTTCTGAGTGCCTTCCAACCTAGGGGGCTCATCTTCCAGCACTGTATTGGACAATATTCGGTTGTGCTCCATAGGATTTTCATTGGCTAATTTTCTGAAGTAGGTCACTAGGTCTTTCTTCCTAGTCTGTCTTAGTCTGGAAGCTCTGCTGAAACTTGTATGCCATGGGTGACCCTGCCAGTATATTTGAAATACCAGTGGCATAGCTTCCAGCATCATAACAACGTGCAAGCCACCACAGTAGGACAAACTGACAAGTGGTGTACTCAAGCATTCTAAAAAACCAAACCATTGCCCTCAAGTCGATTCTGACTCATAATGACTCTGTAGGACAGAGTAGAACTGCCCCCTGGGGTTTCCAAGGCTATAAATCTTTAGGAAGCAGACTGCCACACCTTTCTCCCTTGGAGCGCCTAGTGGGTTCAAACCGCTGACCTTTTAGCAGCTGAGTGCTTTAACCACTGTGCCACTAGGGCTCTTTACTCAAGCATTGCCAAAAACTCATTGCTGTCGAGTCAATTCCAACTCACAGCAACCCTATAGGACAGAGTAGAACTGCCTCATAGTGTTTCCAAGGAGTGGCTGGTGGATTTGAACTGCCGACCTTTTGATTAGCAGCCAAGCTCTTTAACTACTGTGCCACCAGGACTCAAGCATTAGGTAGTGTTATTTATTCTTTTCATTATCATTAGAATTAAAGTGCCCCAGGCGCCCCAAGATGCACTTGTCAATTCAATGGCACTGCCTATTATGGGTCAAGAAAATGAGGTGGGAATCACAATATTTTCAGCAACTTTGTTTGGGTTTGCCAATTATTTTCCGACCGCTGCTGCTACAGTTTTGAGTTCGTGCCCTAAACCTTGGGTCTGTCAGAGGAAGGTTGCTGAAGCAGAATGTAATTGAGGTTTTGAAGGAAATAGATGGAAACACACAATGTGGCGCTCTTCCATGTTTTGTTTATCTACTTTTCAGTGTAAACCAAATCTTATTATGCAGAATGTTTTTCAGGTTGCTCACAATGGAGCATAAAACATGACAAGACAGCATAAATTAAAAGTGAGGCAACACAAGATAACAGAAAGAGAATACACTGGAACTGGTAATAATGGGAAAAAAAGGTAATTTTCCCTACCTGCTACTTCGGGGTGGGTCACAGTTGGAGCTCTCAGCATCAGAGCCAGCAACGGAATAAAGGAAACTTGTCAGATACAC